CTGGGTGGGGAGGGGGGCTCTGTTTTGAGGTGTGAATGCGCCATAATAAGCTAAAACTCAGCAGCCTTCTGAGCATGTTTTATAATAATATAATATTGATTAATTTTTTTATGTGTGAACCATTCTTATTTTTCTGGCTGCCTGGGACACAGGGAGAGGTAGGTGTTTTTTCTAGTTCATGTAAAGTCATGTCTGTTGTGATTTAGTCATTATTGTGTGGATGTACTTCTTTTTTTACTCAAACAAACAAACATTCGAACAAACAAGTTGACTTAGCCAGAACTGCTGGCAGTTGGAGGGTACCACTGTATATAGGCTTAACTTTTTTTCCTTACCTGTGCTGTTCCTGCCTCTCTCTTACTTCTTCCTCTTGCACTAAATGACCATTACTGTGTTGATGAGCAAAGTGGAGATGACTGTGCTAGCCTTAAAACCAGAATACTGTTCAGGGATTCTGATTTCCCAATTTTATTTCTCCATGTTGTTGTTTTTTTCTCTCGCTATTTCCTTAAAAATTTGTTTTCCAAACATTTATTATTACCTGATTTCTGTTTAACCCCATTAAAGTTGTGTCTATTACTTGTCTTTTTTCACAAATGCAACTCTGTAAGTCTTAAGTTATTTTCACAAAATCCCAGTTGCATCCCTGGCTGTAAATTTGGGAATTAGAAATCTTTTCAATATCTTGATTGTGAATAGAACATATCAGTCAATCATGGAGCAAGAAGGCAAAAACTGTTTAGTTTGCTTATAAGGTTATCAACCCCCTGCTCAACACGTCCCTAACATCCCCCTCCCACACACACACGCACACACACACACACACACACACACACACTCACACACACACATACAGAAAAAATAGATAAATGAATAAATAATTAAATGAATAAATAAGTAAGTAAATAAATAAATAAAATTATTAAAAAGCAGCCCAGGGTTGAAGCAGCTCGTGTAAATAACCCATCTTGATAGATTTGAGTGGAAAACATTTTCCTCATATAGGAAGCTCTTTGTTTTATTGCCATGTCTTTGATATTTCCAGGGACTTTGCCTACGTGGCCCGTGATCGCGTGACCAAACTACACATGTGTCACGTGTTCCACTGCGACACACTGGCGCGACACATCGCCAACACACTCCGGGACATCTGCAAGAAGATCATGCTGGAGCGGTCTCTGCATCAGTCCGCCGTAGCCAGGCTCAGCCGACCCACAGACCTGCCCAATCTGGACAAAGTTAACCACCCCAACGGAGAGAAGTTGTCTTTCCAGAATCTTTACAATAGTAAGTTTTTATTGGGGGGGGGGGGGGGGCTTTATTGTTTGTTTTCTTTTTAAGTATGATGAAGGTGTTGATATGGCTCTATACGTTTGGAAAAAATAAACTTGTTGAGTTAATCGGCGTGGGATAAAGTTATTTTTTCCAAGAATCTTTACTTTAGAAAGTTCAAACATTTTGGTAAAGATTTGTTTTGGTTGTGAAAAAGGTAATGTATTGAAATGGGTTTGCATGTTTTAGTGAGGATGACTGAAATGGGTTGACCTGCTAAATCAGGGTAAAGCATACCTGCACAATGGACAAAAGTTGTTTTCCCAGAATCTTTACAATAGAAAATCTTGTATGTTAAAGCAGTTTAAGTTGGGTTTTTTTTTCAATTTATCTATTTTTTGCTGTACAGTATAATAAGGAAGATGAATGGCTTTCTATGCTTAAAGAGTATGTGCTTAATGAGATACTAGAGCGAGTGGTTGGCGAGTGCTCTGGTGTGGTTTGCGTCATCTTTCCTATCAAACAGCTATCATCCTTATCTCTCCTCCTTTTTTGTGTTAACACTTCTAATCTGTGGCACTTTTATAGCCTTATTGTGTTGCAAGTGCCATAAAGCTCTTACTAAAACTAAAAACTAGATAACAAGTGCCTAGAATGAAGCTGTCTTTTCCAAAAAGTTTACATAGTAGCCTAAGTTCAAATATATATTCTTAATTTGTGTATTTGCTTCTCTTTACTCAAACCAACAAACCAACTAACTAAACAAACCAACAATCTGGTTCCCTCAGACGCACGGTTCCCTACCCCTATGGAGGAGCCCCGTAAGGTGATGAGGTGCCACTACCTTGGGGTTCAGGAGGTCATGAGGCCCACAGGTGAGTTCTTCTTATCCTCAGAGAATGTGTTTAAATACAAATGTGAACCTAAATTAAAAGAAGGTTTTGCGTCCCCACTTTTTTATTTTGTGACAGTCTGATGTCTGCAACCAGTTCTCAGAAATATGTATATTGTCGGCTGTGCAGGGGAATAGCGACTGCTGATGTTTTTGTTACAGTTTTTTTCTTGGTGTAACCGCCTACCGTATCATATTCAGCTAGACCAGATATGCCACATTTCATCTCGATTTTCAAGAAGAAAAAAAGGCTTAATTGGACAAAAGATCAGCTTTAAAAACGAAATTTGTTGTTCACTCACACTTTTGTTATGAGATTGTTAGGGACAAAAAATTTCATAGGTCCCGTTTGCAAGTTGTGCACGTCAAAGATCCCTTGGTGGTCCTAAAATCGATAATTGTAGGCTTTGGCCACCACCGGGGCAAAATTCAAAATTAATTCCTACCTAACTGTTCCATGTGCTCATATTATGACCTTACGCAGTTGCGAGCACTGTAAAAAGACTTACGAAATACATTTAAAAAACCCGTTCTTGTGGTGTTTTGTTTATTTTGCTTTGCGCAACATTCAATCGTTTGGTTTTTTGTTTGCCTGCAGGCCGTGACATCCTGAACGAGGCGATCCAGTACCTGTACTACCGCATCCCCCCGGAGAAGTGGAAGTTTGTCAATGTGGCCATCGCCCCGTCGACCATCACCATCACTGAGCACGGGGTGAGAGGATTTAAAGACGTTTTTATTTCTGTTTGTACTTATGTTTGTAGGAAAGCTTTTTTAAAAACGTATTCAATACAAATTCTTACAAACATATAAATGAGTTTGCACTGACATTTGACAAGTGATGTAACAACTGTAATAACCTACAATCTATAATATGTAATGAATTTTTGTATTTGTGAAGAGAACAAACTTCTCCTTTTTATATTATTTTTCAACAATCTATTATTTTTAAACTTTCTTGGAAGAAACCGTTCTTTTGTTACTTCTTTTAGTGACATGCCTGTGTTTGAGACTTTCTGAAAAAACTCGTGCTTGAAAGTAGCCCTGTTTAGCTACTGACTGTATTTAGTATTCTTACTCTACATCCAAGTGGCAGTCGTTTTTGTGTTTAAATGTATTTTAATATATATCTACCTCAGAACCCTGATGGTATTATTGAGGAGTGCCGAGTTCGATTCCTATCCTTCATGGGAATAGCTGTGGACAATGTCAAGTGAGTTTGTGTGTTTGTTTCAGTCTGGGCCTTAGAAATGTTCTTGTGTGTGAAATTTTGTGGGCCAAAGTTTGCTATGATTAAATCGACCACGACACCACAGAATGAAACTTCAGCTATCGACATTTGGAGGGTTAAACAAACAAACAAATAAGAAGCACAACCTCCAAAATGAATGGTTTGAATATCTTGAAAACTTTCCCCCCAAAACCCCAAGTTTGAGAATACTCTGTTGAGAATAATGTTCCAGGGTGAGCCACACTGCTGTCCAGCATGATACTATCTATGAACCATGAGTGAGCTCTGTTGTACTGTCAAAACTGTCTTAGCAAGCCACCTATTGTCAAAGAGAGAATAGTGGGGATTGGCGGGTGCTTTGGTGTGGTTTGCTTCTTTTTTCCCCTATAAAACATCTATCGTTCTTATCTCCCCTCCTTCTTTTTTGTGTTTGTTACTCTCTTGTAACTACTTTAATCTTCAACATTTATATTATGAGCCTAATGTGTTGCAAATGCCGTAAAACTCCTATTAAAGCTAAATGAGAGAATGGGTTGTCTTATACAGGTTGGTGTCTTTGACAGTGTCATTATTATGTTTAAAAAATTGTAAGGGGGGAGTGATAAATTGTACACGTGACAGGTACATACGGTTTGACTGTAGTTTGTTTGAACAAACCCAGTGAAGAAAACTTGTCTTTCTAAAGGTTAACTTGAGCTTTCCATTTGGTACTTACCTGACTTACATTGTACTTTTGGGGTCTCCTTTCTCAGTGGGACCACATTTGGGCCACCTTGACTTCACACACAAAGACATTTTTAACTTAGTTTTTAGGATTTTGGATTAAAATTTACCTTTGCCAATAAAGGTATAGTTAATGGGTGTTTTGACTGTGTGTGTTGTGCCCAGGCTGTGCGTGATCATCATAAAACGTTGAGAGTTTTGCTGTCATTGTGTGTTTGTTAACACCAGGCCGTGAGTGTTCTTCATAATATACACCTCCTAAAATACTTAACCCTTTGAGCCCTGTTTTCCTGAGGCTACTGTCCCTGAGCTCCTGAGCGATATATTACTAAGAATCGTATGATCGTCACAATCTCATTCCATATCCCTCTCGGGGTCGTCCTCATCATTGCCAGCATTTAGTTCTGAAAGATCTTCAAAATAATCAGTAACGTCCTATGTAGTACAGTTTCTGGTGTGCATTTTGTCCCAGACGGGACCAGTTTGTGGGTAGGGTCTTACTCACCACTGTATTGGTGGCAGGGCATACGTGCCGTTTTATGCGCCGGTGGCCAGGGCCCAAAGAGTTAAACTGTTTCAATAGAGTGTCAATAGAGGTGTAAAGCATTCACATTTTGCTGTGATGCGTGTGTTGTCTCCCCAGGCTGTGTGCATTCATCATGCACACCTCACAGAACAAGTTTCTGTGCCACGTGTTCCACTCGGAGCCCAGCGCTGGGCCAATGTGTAAGACCATCGAGGCTGCCTGCAAGGTGAGTGGTTTGGCTGCAAGATTAGGTATTGTACTTTGGGCAGGGGGGAGTGTAGAGAGGGTCGGGGGATGGGGGACTCTCTCTTGTATCTTTGAATAAGTGGAAAGTTAAATGGTTGAAGGATGCTCATATATAGTCACACCAGTGTTTGCCAATCTGGGTGATATCACCCACTAGTTTCTTTAAGAAATATTCTCCTCTTCAGACAAATTGGTCTTCGTCAAACATTAATGGACATGCAGTCAAACCTGCCCTGACGGCCACCTATACATGACGGCCACCTGTACAAACGGCCACTTTCCATTTCCCCCCTTGCGTTTTTTCTATATAATTTAACTGTGTAAAACGGGCACCTGTACAACGCAGCCGCGGCCACCATATTTTAACACACAACCCCTATCACACTAAGCAATAACACCTATCTTAGACGGTCACCTTAGTGACTCCATTACGTTTTGTCATAAATTGTGCATTGGCCCCTGGAGTTGGGGGCGAGCCTTCATAATTCAATCACCTGTCATTGTTGTTAGGTAGTCTCTCCAACCGATCATGTTGCGTAGACCCCTCCCACTGTTGACCAATAGGGTAGGCTACCAATTTTCAGCTGCTGGTGAGGTAAGCGTGTGATCCCTCATAACCCATAAGCCCCGCCCAGAACTCATACACAAATCGTAGGCGAGATGAGTGGTCACTGTTTACCCAGTCTGTAACAAAGTAACAAAGGACGTCAACATGAACTTGTGACAGAAGCGTCGCTCGTTCTCCGAGTGGTGGCGACCCATGTGTTTGTTTTAACATGGCACTCGATTCTTCCTTTTCTAATACATTTCGTTTTATTGTCCCCCTTGTGCAAAATCAGCAGCAAAATAAAAATTACAAACAAAATACAAACTAACAGCAAAAACAACAATGCGGCTACTTTCGATTGGGACCTCAGATGGGAATAGTTTGTTTTCTTCATCTTGATCAGTCCTGCCTAAGACGGCCACCTGCCTTATACGGCCACTTTTCTCCTTGACAATGAGTGGCCATCTTACACAGGTTTGACTGTACTTTTATTATTATATTCATTCTCTAATTTTGTTGTTTGTTTTTTTAAATTTTTTGTACTTTAAAAATGTTAAGTTATGTTTTTTCTTTTCGACAGCTGAGGTATCAGAAATGCTTGGATGCTCACCCTCAAACCCCAAAGGGTGGCCTGCAGGGAAAGGTGAGTTTTGAAGGTGGAGAAATACCTGACCTCCACTAGTTACCTCAGTGGTTACTTTTAGATTCGTCTCTATAGTGTCTCGCACTCTTGTCCTGTCCCCCATATTGTTTTGTTGTGATACTCAGCGTTGAGTCATGGTAAGAAAGTTCTATTTTTAGAGTTCAGATCATGCATATCTCTGCCGCTGGTTGGACTTATTTTTCTTTTTAAATATCGCCGCTACTATCGTCTTTCCTATCGTATTTGTCTTTTTCTTTGATTTCTCTATATAAGAAATAATATGACATTAAGTTGAAGAATGTTGCTCTTTTGGTATAAAACCATCAAATTGAACTTTTCTTTTCAAGTAAATAGTAGTTGAATAACGTTTCTGAGAAGGCAAGCAATGCCTGCTTAATAAGACACTGCCGTTAAATTAATAGAGAGATCTAAGTGGTTACTGAAAAATTAGAAGAGAGTCATTGTGAGAAAAAGAAAGCGATGTCTATTTTAGGTCTTCATTCTTGAAATAAGATAAAATCGTCTTTTGAGCATGATGTCATAACAACCCTCACTTTAGCCTCAGAGAAAGTGGTCAAGTAAGTTCTGAAAGTAGACCTCAACTAGACCTTTACTAGAGAAAGTTCTTAATTTTTTTGTTTTTAAAGTGTTGTTTCATAGGATATGACTCAATGAGGGTAAGAGTTGGGTTTAGAAAGGAGCATTAGCACGTTCAAATATGACAGCAATCTGTAGCATGTTGCATGGCTCACCGCTGAACGATAGCTTTTCAAACATTATATTTTGAATGTTTATTACCCTTTTTATCTGTATTGTGCATTTGATTGTCCTTTTTTTAATGATCAATGCCCTTAAATGTCCTGAGGTAAATGTTCACAGCATTATAGCTTTCGTTTAGAAAGATTTGAAAAATTCTTTGAACTACCAAATTTTTTTCTGCTGACAATGGAAATTGTTGTAGCTATAAAATTGAGTAACTTCACTATGCAAAGACTTCTGCTGCCAATTACATTTCCTAATTTTAATTTGAAATACTTAATTGTTAGTTTTCTGGCAATGATATAACGTTGTCTGTGCTTATGGGCTTGCTTAGTCTCTGAAGTCACTTTGCTTCTACTGCTTAATCAAATTGACTGCATGAGACAAAAGTGCTTTGAGCTTCTGATGTAGTCAGAAACGTTATTTCACCCTATCACATCGACACAAAGCCTGCAATGCCCTGTCTCGATCAATAAGTAGACCTATAGACGCAATCTCCAAATATTGACCATCTAGAATATGGGTTTGAAATAATATATAAATAGGGCTCTGAAAGGACTGATTCATCAAGTGCACTGTCTTGCCATTTTCTTCCCTTTTTACTATTGTTTTCTTTGATGTTTGTTAAATGTGTACAGCTCAATTTGTAGTTCTTTGTCTTTCATTTATCACTTGTTCTTGTTACTAGATCTAGCTGTTTTGTTTTTCTGGCTACAGTTTTTTTCCCAGGAGACAGAATTCATGGAATTCCTCTCGCATTGTCTTTTCTTGTATATCAAACCCAAGGGTATATTTTTCATCATACGGAAATTATCAAAGGATCTTTATTGTGTGCAACGCATGCATGGGATCCTTTATTTATCTCAAGTTTCCCTTAGGCAGTCGAATGTTTCACCGTAATCTTTTCAAATTGTATCAGTGGAGAAGTAGGGGTGTCGTACACAGTACCAGTATATATTATTGTGTCAAGACAGTCGAACCTGCTTTAACGGCCAATTGACCAAGACCTGTACAAACGGCCACTTCCCACTTCCCCCTTGCATTTCTTTTTAAAGATATTATAATGACTCTGTAAAAGATGTCCACCTTTCTAAATCTAAGACAGACATTCTTTTCCTCGAAATTTGGTGGCTGTCATGGGCAATTTTGACTGTATATATATTATTTTGTTATATTTTGTTTCTGTTTGTCAAATACTACAACTTCTCTACATTGTGCACACCAATTATAGTGTCACATTTTGTGTTGCTAGTCGTTAAGTCGGTCATTACTTTTGTATTTTCTGTTGTTGTTATTTTTTTCCACCTCCCCCTCCACTCGGACCGTCGTGACCCCTTGGTGTTGTGACCTTTGCCCTGTTTTGGTGTGTCACGTGTAGAGTGTGAGTGAAGTGCTCACTGCCGGGGTCAGGGCCGGAGTTCAAGGACTGAAGGTCGGAGGTCAGGAGGTGAAGACTGGTGCCCTCCAAGCTGTCAAGGGGGTCCTAAGCTTGTTTAAGGGGAAGAACCCAGAGTGTGCAGATTCTTGATGTTGGCCCCCTTGCTGTGTAGGTATCGGTGTGTTCCCCCTTTGTGTTGTGGATGTGTAGGTATCTGTGTGCTCTTTGTGTTGTTTTTGTGTTTGGGTCCGTCGGTGTACTTCCTGTGTGTTGTCTGTGTACTTCCTGTGTGTTGTCTGTGTGTAGGTATCTGTGTGTTGTTTGTGTGTAAGTATCTGTGTGTTGTTTGTTTGTGGGTCCATCAATGTGCTCTTTGTGTGTTGTTTGTGTGTGGGTCCATCAATGTGCTCCCTGTGTGTTGTGTGTGTGTGGATCCATCAATGTGCTCCCTGTGTGTTGTGTGTGTGTGGGTCCATCAATGTGCTCCCTGTGTGTTGTTTGTGTGTGGGTCCATCAATGTGCTCCCTGTGTGTTGTGTGTGGATCCATCAATGTGCTCCCTGTGTGTTGTGTGTGGGTCCATCAATGTGCTCCCTGTGTGTTGTGTGTGGGTCCATCAATGTGCTCCCTGTGTGTTTGTGGATCAGTTAGTGTGCTACCCTTTGTTGTCTCTGTACGTCTGTATTGCCTATGACTCCCTGGAATTGCAAACTTAGATCTTAGCACAAAATGTGCTGTGCTTTTACAGATTTTCTTTCATACCTTCTTTTTAAAAGATTCTCTAATTTGGGGCAGAACCCGCCAATTTAGTTTGACAGGTTTTTTTTGTTTTGTTTTTGTTTTCAAGCAGTGTACATTTTAAAGAAAATAACTCAACAATTTTAATATTTGATTGTGATATTGATAATAGTTTTTCCATTATGGTCTTCATAAGTGCTTGGCAACCTTTTCATAGAAAGCTCCAACTTTTGCCACCTTTTAGAAACAAACATTTTTATACAGCCTACTTAAATGTACGGATGTATTTCCAAGCGGGGCATTCAGTAACTAATGCCTGTTACTACACAGGCGATACCCACCACCCATCAATAATTATAGATTCGCCCAAGTAGGCAATATCACCCAAATTGGCAAACACTGATCATCGTAGAGATTTTGCTGTGTTGAACATTGTTTCGCTTTTGTCTGCAACTCATTTCTTTTTGTTGTATCTTATTGTAAGCCTACCCCATTAGATGTAGAACACCAATAGATGTAGATCTTTCACAGCCCTCCCTCTCAGGTTTCTGAATATTTCTGAGCTTAATTTTTTTTCCGTGTAGCAGATACGTGCCTGATATGATTATGTTGCATTTAGATTTCTTCTCATTCTTAGATCATTAATATTCTGTTCCTCTGATCTGTGTTTTCTCTGCCCCACTAGAGTATATTTATATCATGTGAGTTAGGGGTTGACAGTTGCTCTGGTGTGGTTTGCTTCTTCTTTTCTTTCAAACATTTGTCTTCCTTATCTCTACTCCTTTTTTTCATTATTTGTTACGCTCTAGTAACACCTGGTATCATTGGCACTCATATGACCTATTTGTGTTGCAAAGTCCTTAAAATTGCTCTCTAAACCACAAACAATTTGATCATGTTACGTTAAGATTACATTTCTCATTCCTAAACCTTTGATATTGTGTTCAACTGATTTGCGTTATCTATTGCCGCTCTAGAATATTTTTGTATCATCATGTGTGTATTATCATCTTTCCCTCATGGGTGGGTGGATTTTGGAAGCAAAGCCAAATTCAAATCTAAAGTTAATGTCATTTCATATTTTATCAACTCTTTTAGAAGTGTTTGTGTTTCCTATTGAAATCTCTCAATGTTTGTCAATAGGGTTACCTTTTTGGTGTCTGAAGCTGAAAGTTGATTCAGAACTAATGCCTCTCTATTGCTGTCTCCTCCTCGACTTTTGCAGTTCTCTTTGAAAAGAGTATGTATGAGCATCCTGCAATGTTAAAACTGGTTGCTTTTTCCAGCGTAATCGTTGTCAGTCAACATCGTTAGGCCTCGCCCAAGTGTAAATGCTACAGAGTTTCAGTTACATGCGCTTGCGTGTATCGTTATGCATCTGGGTTTGGTTTTTTTTTAAATTTTGGTTCCAATTCTTTTTGGTTGTCACCTAAGTTATATCGAAAGACCTATTTGTAAAATAATTGTTGTATTCAGTAGTTTAAAAGCCTCTTCGTCTGACTTTATGTATCAAATTCAATTCACTGCGATATTCTTACCACAGTATGGTATCCCAGAAGCATGCAAAGCTTGAGTGTGGGCTTTAGGAACAGCTTGATTTGTGATGACTGGTAAAATTCATTTGGATAATTAGTTTATGTTATAAATGTTGTCACTGCATCATATACCGACTGAGGCTATTTAATGGGTATTTGGCAGGGACACTGATGTGGTTTTCTCTTTCTTTCCTGACAATCATCTGTCATCCTTACCCATATCTCGCCAAATGCGAAATTACTTCTCCTGCTCTCAGCTGCGATCTATATACATCACAAATCTGCAACTTCCACCCACTGCTACCCCACCACATAATCCTCCTGCCACGCTGGTACTTTTCTAACTCGCTGGGGATACCTCGGTGGGGACGCCTCATCAATCACCACACGGTGCTGATTGCTCTCTGCATCATCTTCATCCGAAGTTGCCACCTTCCTTAAGTCTAACACGTGCCTTGGCACATGGTTCACTTCTACGTTGTTTCGGGAGTTAACCTTGTCACCACACCACGACCCCATTGCGTGGTGCAACGTGCACCTGGTGGTTTAACCCAAGTTGTCACTGCATCATATTCCGACTGAGGCTATTTAATGGGTGTTTGGCAGGGACACTGATGTGGTTTTCTCCTTCTTTCCTGACAATCATCTGTCATCCTTATCTGTCCTCCTTTGTTTCTTTGCATGTTACTCTCTTGTAACACCTTTGAATCTCGCACACAAGTCAAGTGTGTAGCAAGTGCTGTAAAGTGCTTATGAAAACTGAACCGAGATCATTCAGGTAGACAGGAGCTGACTTGTCAGACAGACAGACCTGTGCTATTCTTTTAATCGTTTGCTGCAGCATTGTTTTAGTTTTTTTGTAAGTTTAAATTTTTTGGGAAAGGCATATGTTATGTTTGCAGATGCCCATACATGTATTCTGTGTGCTTCTGATTTTCTCTCTACTTTCTTTGTAAGGCTGCTTTATATCCTATTAAAAGTGTGCTTATATCTCTCAAAAAAAAGCAAAGGACTTAAAATTATATGTACATTCTGTGAAATTTGAAATAGAATATTAATCGAGTGTAGTTTTAAAAAAAATTGAAACAGCTTCAGTTTTTTCACAAGTATTTATGACCATAGCTGCAGAAACATTTTGTTGGCAGCATGGTCTTTGAAGAGAGTTTAGATCGTTGATGTCGACTCTTAACTGTATAAGTGCATGATCATTGATTTTCACAAATTGGAAAAAAGGGTAATTTATTTCTTATTATCTACCGGAATTGCTCAAAATTTTGTGCTTGGTGGTTTTTTTTACTCATTAGGCTTACAGGATAACCAGCTGTAATTACGGTTGTAATTTACATATGAGACAGAAAAAGTGCTTGGTCTAATTTAACGAATACACAATTAGAATTGGACACAGATGATATTTTATTCAATTTCTTTTTTGTTATGTTGAATAATGGTTGCAAGCAGCATGCTTTATATTTTGAATGATAATTTCATGCCTTACCCACAGCTTGTCTGCTATACTACAACCTTATAAATTCAATGCTTTTTTTGGTGGAATGGCTCGCTTGACTGAATTTCTGCCTCCTTACATATCGACTTTCAGCTGTCAGTTTGACTAGTATCTTATTTTCAGAATTTTGCTTGCTGCTTTGGGATTCAGCCTTTTAAGAATGTATATTTCTCAAAGGTTAAAAGGCAATTTGTAATACTGTCATATGACCAAATTGTGTCATTAGTGTTGTAAAACACATGCTATACTCAAGCAAACAAACAAGTTGTTGTCCTCATAAATGCCCTTAATTATATTAGGTATGTGGGTGCTCTAGTGTGGTCTCTTCCTTCTTTCCTATCAAACATCTGTTGTCCCTGTCTTTCCTCCTTTTTTGTGTTTGGTACTCTATTGTAACACTTCTAATCTTTGGCACTTATATTATCGTATTGTATTGCAAGTGCCGTAAGCTCTTACTAAAATACTAAAATTGAAAACCTTTCATCATTATACATAATGTCTAGTACCATGATCTGTTACGTGATCATTTAATGTCCCTTTCTTTGTAGGTACGTGTATAACGCCATGATGTTTGATTCAAACCATTGTTTTCCCACCCCCTCTCCACTCCCTCCCTTTCTTTCTTGTCCTTCCTCTCAGAGCCTCAGCAGTAGCATCAAGCAGAGCATACAGTGTGTGTGGGGCTCCGTCACTCAGCTGGCCTCTCCCAAATAGTTCAAGGCCATGCCGGGTCGTGACAAGGTCAAGTTGAGCGTGCCAATGGCAGACCGCCACCGCTCCTGTCTGCTGCATATGTACCTTCAATCATCTGTCGTGACCCGGCTTATAAGGATGACCTTGGCATTGAACTCTGGATGCCAGTGCATCGACTCTTTTGATCTGTACTAATTTTCAATATAACAATTACTATGTATTCATTTCATCAACTGTTGAGCTCTGATTTGTCATAAAGGAACGTAATAAGTCCATGTATATTTGAAAAGATGCCACCTCTTATGTTTATCAAAATTTCTGAAAATGCTGGAATTCCAGGAACTTCTAATTGTTCTGGAAATCTTTATTTTTCTTTTTTGGCATCACGTATGAGAGAGTTTATGTACAAGAAATATTGCTAGATGTGGATAGACCTCTAATCTTGTAACTTTTTCTCTTGAGACACATCACTGTTTGCACATGAACGCAAGTAATGTGTTCTGATTGTTAATTAAGGACTGGTATTTTAGGGAGCTTTTGTCATGCTGTTTTTAACCCTGGTCGTAAAGCATTTATTTATTGATTTATTGGCATTTCAGTGCAATCATGTAAACACAAGTATTCATAGCAGCTGGCAAAGTAATGATATTTTTGCTTGTACATTCACACCGGCATATCTTTGTAGTCTTGTTTTATTATTTGGGTTGTTTTTTTCTCTGTGGGATTTCAGTGACCACATTTCTCTTTCTCATCGTAAATGTGCTGTATCATCTCTCTCTTGTAACTTTTAGGTGTATTTGTTTTAGGCCAGTAGCTTGCTGTGTGTCTTTATTGTTTGAGACTACGAATCTCCCAGGGGGGGTAAATGTGTGTGCTTCGTTGATAGCACTGCAGACAGACTGCCACATTCATGTAGCAGCGTTTAACTTACTGTCTGAATTTATTTTTTTTGAACACTTGGCAAAAAAAAAAAAAAAACCAACATTTGTGGTGTTGTTCAAGTCTGCACCATAGTTTGCAAAAGATTTGAGTATCTCTGTCTTTTTGCTGGGATGCTTTTAATCTTTCTCAACCGGCGTGTGGTGCAGACAAGTAGGGTTAAAGCAACCTGTCTTTTAAAAGATCTGAATTGTGTGGATGAAGGTGAAAAAGGTAACAATCACATCTTGTTGCGGAGAAGCCAAGACTGGTGGGTTCTCTGGTAGACGTGACCAGTAGATCAGGTGTATACACATGCAATAGACCCGGGAGAGATGTGTTGTCTTTAGGTCTTTAAACTTGACTTCTTTTTCTTCTCCTCCTTTGTCAGTTGTTCATAGGTCTGATGTAAACATTTACCCTTGTCGTCTTTGCAGAGGTCTGAGTGAAACATTAGCTCCTGTCTCCTCAGCAGAGGTGTGATGGAAACATTAGCTCCTGTCTCCTCAGCAGAGGTGTGATGGAAACATTAGCTCCTGTCTCCTCAGCAGAGGTGTGATGGAAACATTAGCTCCTGTCTCCTCAGCAGAGGTGTGATGGAAACATTAGCTCCTGTCTCCTCAGCAGAGGTGTGATGGAAACATTAGCTCCTGTCTCCTCAGCAGAGGTGTGATGGAAACATTAAATCTTTTCTCCATCTTGGGCGGACTTCTGCCATTCTATAAATACCTTGGGCTGGATTTTTTTTTAATTTGGGAAAGAAGGTCTAATGTAGGGTGGAGACTTCTTAAGATCAACCAACCAAAGATTAACTATCTTTGTATTGACGGCAAAACCAAACTTAAGAGAAAGCTGTGATCACTTGTATGTACACATGTTGTGAATTTTTTTTTTGTTCTGTAAATATTTTGAATGAGTTGAAAAAGAGTTGTTGGAACCAGGGAATTTTGTCAGAATCAAAACCATACTTGTCACAGTTGCTCTTTGAAGGGCACTGTGTGGTCTGTAACTCAGATAATGTCAATGTGAACTATTGTGTTTTCTCTTCTTGTGCTTTCCATTTTCCTCTTCCCCATTACTTACAATACTTTTTGTTGTTTTTCACGCTGGTTGATTTTAGAATTTCAGGAGGGGGGAATTTCTTAGACGGCAAGTGATGAGTTCATGAACAGCGACTACTGCTCTGTGTGCTCTACAGCAGTGTAAGGCTGACCTTTTACTATGTCAATGGTTATTGTACTCTTTTCTCATCTCATTCCATGATGAACGGCGTCTGTGGTATAATAGTAAGGCGCTATGCCATCACAGGCAGGAGACCAGAGTTCAATTCCAGAGTGTGGAGAATTTTTATCGAGTATTTTGGTCTCTCTGCTGGGATGTTGTATCTCTCTTAGCCTGACAGGCAAGGTTGAAGCCCACCTTTTATATGATCTAAATTGTGTAAATGGTGGATGTAGAAACACCTAGATCTACATTTTTTTAAATGTATTTTTAAGATGAAATTGTAAATGTGGCTCAGTAAAAATGCTTGCTTTATCACCTCAGTCAGTGCATTTCAAACACTGAAAAGAATAGCATCAAGTCAAAATTGCTATTTTGGTGGACTTAAAAGTTAAAACTTTTTCAATTGACCCCACTTGGTAGGTGTTCTAGACAAAAGGGACAGCAGAAAAGAATTGTGTTGCAGTTGCACGGGCAGTTGTCAATGCCGTTTTTATTGTTAGATCAGTTGTAGCTGCTGACAAATATCCATTTGACCAGCGGAGTTGTGAAATGATTGTCCATTTGATCAGCGGAGTTGTGAAATGATTGTGGAATTTGGACTAACTTGAGGAAATGCTTTTAATTGCTCTAGTTGAAGATGTGTTGGAAATTTGTGATATTCTTTAGCATGTGATTATCTAGGAGTGCTTCGATATGTTGATTATTTCGTTTATATGATGTCCTTGGCATTGAGGAATTGCTTTTTTGGGAGTACTTTTTTTTTTTTTTTTTTGAGGGGGTAGGGTCTCATCTCAACTGCTTTGATCTTTGTTTGAATCATAGTGATGTAGGTTTTGTTTTTGAATTTCGCCAACTGGGGCTTGTGGCATTATGTATGTTAAATCCTGGGGCTTTTTTCATTTTTTGGTGCTTACTTCAGTTGTTAAGAGAAGTGCTCACATCTTAAGAATTATTTCATGATTATGATGCTTTTGTTTTCCTTGTTGTTACTCGGATATTAGGGGATGGTGTTTCCCCTTCACTAGTCAAATACACTTTGAAGTGCTGTTGGACAAAGGTAGTTTACCAAAAGAGGATTTTGTTGGGTTTTTTTCTTTTGGGGACTTTTCTGGGCAGATATTCCATTGAGATCTGATATAAGGTAGGCTTCTTAAACGCTATTTTTTAAAGGTACTTTGAATCTCCTGTTTGCAGTGATCAAACGTCTGGCAGTAAAGTGTTAAAGGCTCACCGTGACTTAAATATTTGCATACATAGGCCTAAATATTTGTATGCAATCGCTCTTTCTCCCTTTCCTTCTCCCTCTTTCTGTCTCTCTTTTTCAATTTCAATCCCATCCCCTTTGCAACATTCATTTTTTGTCTCTCTCTCTCTGTATATCTCTCCCTCTTTTTCTCACTGTCTGTCTCTCGCTCTCTTATTGTTTTAGAATTTTCATTTCTCCCTCTCACCTTTACTCCTTCTGCCTTTTCCTCACCCCATTCTGCCTCTCTTTCTTGTTTATGCATACACTCTCTCTCTCTCTCTAAACATATGAAAGATTTGCCTCATTTCTGTTTGTTTCTTTTGCCCCGCAATTTTCTTCTTTTAGGTTTTCAACATGGACAGTTATTCTACTTTTTTCAACCTCGTCTTTTGTGTGGGGATTTTTTTTTCTGGAATATTTTCCAGTTGTGTTTTTACAATGTGAAGGTCGTTATTACTTGCACTGTCAAAGAAGGACAAAGATTAAAGGCTTTCTTGTTCTGGAAAGAGCATGTACAGATTCAGATCGTGTTTCCAGCAAAAGAAAATAAAACCTGTCAGCTGTTACACCAATGATTTCTTTTCAAAGAATAAATTCATATGAAGACTACATGGGGGGGGGGGGAAATTATGTATTTTAGAATTATGTTTAATTATACCCTATCAGGGGCTTCATAAAACTAAAGATTAAAATAACTTAACATTTTAGAGAGTGAAGAAGAACAAGGTCCAAGTCAAACTGAACAGAAATTTTGTTTCTATTTTTTAAGATATAAGGTTCCAACCTTCAAACTAAGAGTTTTCAAAGTTACCAAATTGTTTGACTCTGCCTTGTTGTCGTCC